ATATATATATAAAAAATGTATATATATGTGTATTTGAGAGAGATATATACACACATATATATGCAATTCATATAAGTGTATATACAAACTTAAGTAAATTATATATGTGTGTAAAATACAGACATATACTTCCCTCTTTGTATATATCTGTAGTGTTTTTTTTCTTTTTTTCAAAAATAGAGATGAAATTATACTTAATCTAAGAATGCTCAGAACAGCCTGTGTTACTGCATAAGGCTTCCAGGTCATGAGCTAAGTTGGAGCTTGCCAGTTGAGTTGAAGGAAAGTCACACTTTGAAAAAGCAAGACTGTGATAAGGGAGAAGCTAGCAAAATATTTGCCAGGTTATTTTTTGCAAAAATATTGCTAGGGAAGAAGGAGAGATTATCTGGAGCACATGGGTTAGGGAGACTCAAGTTCTGTCATCGCTTACTGAGGGACCGGAGGCGAGTCACTTCATCTTTCATTTCAGAAATGGGTATAACATCTCAGAGATACTGTGTTGTGTCAGTTGGCTAATTAATGTTTAGATGTTTTGGACATGTATCACAGAAATAACTTTTATTTCATTCAGCTCAATTTTGTTCTTCTGTTTTTCTCTCTACCATGTGGAGCACATCCAAATGACAGTCAGTAGAAGGAATCCATTCATTTCTGTCACTCCCAATTGATAAATGGATAGTTCCTTCATGAAAATACCACTCCAGTTTGGGCTCTCTGGCATTCTGTAATCACCTACTTCCTAAAAAACTTTCCTCTTGGAAAGCAGCTTGTTTTCTTTGAAAAAGGGGGGAAACTTTTCACTGTGAAGCTAAAAAAAAAACTCATTAGGTTCAAAGAATGTTTTCACAAATACATGTTTTAAAATGGGAAATTCAAGGAAAACATGTATTTGCAATGTTTACATTGCTATAGGTTACAGCTGCATGTTGGCACTGGGCAGAATAAAGCACTGGCTTTAAAAGTAGGTGCACATATTGTTTCCTAAAATGGTAGGAAACCAGGAACACCTGTAGGGCTTATGATTTGAGGGAGGTGGGAGTGGACATCAATTGTTACCAGGGCTAACGCTCAGGAAATTCTGCTGCTTAAGGAGCAAGAAAATATTTTAAGTGTGTTTACTTTTAGGGTAATGGCTACAGGTCCTACCTGCTAAGTCAGTAGGCAAAAATTCTTGCAGTACGTTCAGTGATGCATTGTTTTAAGTATTGAAACTCCTGTGTAGAGATATCGAAACCTAAATTTTGGGTTTAGAGTTTTGTTGTTTGCTTTAATAGACATTTCTCTTGTGTTCAAGTTTCAGCCATCTGTCCCTCACTTCACTCCCGATAATGCTACCTACTACAAAGTCTTCAGCAATTCAGAAGGTTACAAGCACATCCATTACATAAACGCCTTGCAGGTAGGTAGTAAGGTGTAGGACAGTCACTGCTGACTTGTGTTTCTCCTGGTGACTGAGGAGCTTCATGTTCTGCTTTTTTGCCATGCCTTTTTTCCCCGCCTCCAGGTTCCAGTACCTGTTACTGCAGGAAAATGGGAAGTAATCAGCATAGAAGCTGTAACCAATAAGTTTTTGTAAGTATTGTAATTAAGATACTGATTCCTATCAGGAGGGCTTGTAACAAGGGTCTAAGCAAGCAGGGAGGGAAAAGAGGGAAAAGGTGTCATTTAACTCATTAAAAATCTGGTCTAAACATGTAAGATAATCCTTTAAATACTGTAAGGTACTGTAAGCATTTTACCAAAACCGGTATGTTTTGCTTTTATAGATACTACATTAGTAATGAAAACCGTGGAACGCCAGGAGGGAGAAATCTTTATAAGTAAGAAATTTTTGCTGCAGTATGAGTAAAATATTTATTAATTAAAAATAAATTTTAAGAAAAAGCATTGCAAAATAAAAAGATTAGGATGTTTATAGTCTTAACGTGGGATCCTAGATAGGATAGTAATTTAAAATCAGTATAGAAGTATAAACTGTAAAAACAGCTAAAATATTTTTCTGTAAATTTAGATAATAAAGGGAAATTGTGAAAAGAAACAACCAATCCTCAAGCAACAAACCCCTCAAGAAAACCTCTCATGCTTTTTTATTTTTCACTGCGATTATAATTCCAGTATTAATTGAACTGAAAATTTTAAAGTCTGCTTTCTCTGCTTTTTAAATCAATAAGGGCTTTACTCCTGAATTTTATTGTATTTCATTTGGTCATCTTAATTAAAAAGCTTGCATTTATTTAGCATAGTTTAAAAGAAAAAAAAAGTCTTTCATCTCTGAAATGAAGCTCGTCTACTTTGCAGAGTGCTCTTGGAAAGCAGTCCAAATTCTACTACATGTGTTAGCTGTGATCTGGATCGAGAAAGATGCCGGTATTATTCTGTGTCCTTCAGCAAAGATGCACAGTATTATCAGCTAGATTGTCGTGGTGAGTATATCTGGAATTAATGGATATAAACATGACTGACTGATTAGTTGGGTGGGGAAGTTCACTTCGTCAAGATATTGATATGCATTGCGTAACAATGACACATTGGTATCGTTGGATAAATGCATTGGCAGCGGAAAAACATACTCCCTCCTAGGCTCAAAAGCACCTTGAAAAAAATTACAAGGATTAAATTTGATAGTTCTATCAGCACAACAGGCTGGGTAAAGAGAAGCGCTCTATGTGTGGGAATAAAATTAAGATAGCTAATGCTCTTCAAAAAAATCCAGTGAACCTAAGTTAAGCAGTGGGACTGTCGTCTGTCTCTGACCTGTAAGTGCTTATGCTAGATAGTACAAGGGATAAAGTAATCAAAGGGTGGGAAAAATAAAATCTTCTGTAAAATTTCCATTAAACTGAACTGTATATTGTTTTTTAAGATGCCAATATCTTCCTTGATCTATGGGCTAGAAGAACAGACAGACAGCAGAGAGGGAGCTGCTCTGTCATGTAAAAATGGTTGTTTGAAGAAGACTGCTGAGGTCTCTGTGACAAGGCTTACTGATTTCCAAACCACGGTCCACAGCTGATGGGCAGACTTTGCTAAAGAGTGGAAGTTTAATTCTTCAGTGCCTCACAATCATGTGGTTCGCCTGTGAGACAGTCTGAATATTTTATAGAATCCTGTGGCTTGAGTTTGGGCCCTAATAACTTAAAATCCAGCTTGTGTAGGCTGGAGGGAAACAAGTGCTGAGCATTTATGATTTCACCCACTTCCAGTTGCTTTACGAGGGCTGTGTTTTGAGACAGCGTGCAAACATGAAGGTTTCGTGCTCTGTTACAGGTCCTGGCCTACCTGTATCTACTCTGCACAGAAGCAGTGATGATCAAGGTACGGGATTGTCTTAAAATGTAATTTCTGTTGCACTGTAAATTTATTTTAATTTTGTTCTCATTGCTTAGTATAATAATTAAAATGTCATTATAAAGGGTCAATTTAATTTCAGATAATTACTCTACTATAGTTAACCAGAAGAATAAATTATATAGCTTGGCATATGTTTATTCATAGTTTATTTAACGTTATTTTACATTGTGCTAGAAAACAGTGTGTAATATATGACTTATTTACTGCTGTTCAGTTTTTCTGAAATGGCATTTAGATGAGAAATGGGGAAAACAGCTTTCTGGGTACTAAATTACTGAAGGAAAACTGTATCATAAACATAGAATCTGAGAGGAAAACCAAAAACTGCAGTAAACTGAGACTGCAGTGTAGGTTGCCATCATCTCAGACTGAATTTTTAAAGTGGTTCATAATTAAAGAGCAGTGCATTTGAAAATAATGTATTTAATCTTTGACTCTTACTAACTCTGTTATTTAGTCCTCAGATACTTGGAAAATAACACTGAACTGGAAAATTCATTGAAAGATATTCAGATGCCTTCAAAAAAAGTTGACTCCATTCGTGTAGGTGGATACGGTAAGTTCAAAAACATGTTTTACCTTTCTCTCCCCTTTCACCAAGTGCTTCAAGGTCTTCTGCTGAAAAGCATGACAGAAAAGATGGTTGTAGTGGGGATTATTGCAGTTATTCAGCACTTAGAGGCAAGACGATTTTTTTTTTTTTTTGACATCTCCAAACATTCTGTTTTTTTCTGAAATCCCAAAATATTCTTATCTAAAATATGCTTTTTCCCTAGTGTGATATCTTGATGTTTTCATGATGAAGTCATGATGAAGTGGCTTAACTCCTTTTTTCCTTGATAATTACCTGAAAAACAAAAGTCCCTAACACCACATTAAATAAATAAGTAAGAGGAATGGGGGTGGGGCACAAAGCTCGTAAGCATTGTTGAATTTAAATTAAATTATAAATTCAAGTAGGTCTTAATTTGCAGGTACAAGTCCCTTTGGTTTGTGTTAGCAGGTTGGGACGGTGGAGGAGAAGTTCAGTTACCAAAAACCAGACATAGAATCTAAATGGAAAAACTTGCAAAATCATTTAGGCTCCATTTCAACAAGATCGCCTTTGACTTTGTGTAGGGGAATATTTGGATTGAATAATCACTTTCTTAAAAGCACGTTCATGCTCCAAGACTGCATAAACCTCTGAATACAGACTAGAACGAAATGCTAGAAAACGAACTGCTTTGCTAGTGGTGCTCCTGTGAATTTGCATGTCCGGGCACAGGAGCCTTCTTGGTGTGCTCCTAGGCTGAGGAACACCAGATAGACCAGCAGTGGGACGCCTGGTACCCGTCTAAACTGTTCTTGCTCCAGCCTTTGCTACTAGCTTTTCCCTTCATGACAAACTTCCGCTTGATAATATGAATGAATATGCTTAATGGAATTACATTTTACAAACTGTATTGAGTTCTGTCAGTCATTGTTAACTGTTCTTTTTGATGCCTCCCTCCTTCCACTGTTACCTTATTTATATAATAACTCTCTTTATCTTTGTCTTTTCTGTCTTTTATTTCTGTCACATTTTTACTAGGGGCTAAAGATGAAATCTTCCAGGCAACATGGAGGTTTAAAGATGTTCTTCGTGCTATCAGTTGTATATTCATCTTTTTATTCTTCTTTGTTCTTACTACTTCATCTCTTCAGGGTAAAAGTTTTTGGGTAAGGGGAATCTGTTTTTAATGGCACAAATAGGAGAAATAAATCCATTTATGTAGTCCTACTTCGAGTTCCAAGTCTGCTCGCAAATCCATGTATGTTATCAAAGAAGAAATCTGCTCCCGAGACTATGGAGTACACAGATTATGCAAAAACACTGAAGCTAGTATTTTCATGTGTTCAATTTAGATTTTTAATGTCTTCAGTGTTTTAATGTCTTGCATATTCATACCCGGACAAATTTCTGTAAGACTTGCACTCTGGCTATTACTGCAGTGCAGTCCATCAGCATTGCTTCATGCTTCCTTTGCAGCATCAGTTCTTTTAAAATTCATGAGTGAACAATTGAGCCAATTGGTTTGCAAAATTTACATGGTGTGCGTTGAAAATGTTCAGCTAACTCTCAGCCAACTTGGGTGGAAAGAGTAACATGGATAGAACCAGAATCAGTGTTGCTTGAGAAATAATAGATATTTGGATATGTTTCTGGGATGCTTTACAAACTGTCATGCAAAGTCTATCTGACAGGTTCAAAATATTTAAAATTTCTTTTTACTGCTGGGAGAAAAATTTGAGTAGAGAAACATTTTTAAGCTAGTGTCAGATTTACTACTGTAGAGACTTACCAAGTTTTACATGTAAGCTTATAATGTAGAGCATGTTGAGTCCCCAGATTTTATTATTATTTTAGACATTCCAGTTCCAGACTCTCTGCTAACCTAGCTGTAAAACATTAAAAAAACATTATTAGATCAGCTAGGAATTTTTACCTGTATATATTAGGACAGTTCAGATGAAACTACTTCTTAATTTTTAGGGGGTGTCTCAAATGTGCTCTTGTATGAATTGTAATGCATGTCAAATTATTTTACTGAAGAACTGACCTAAGTCAAACTCTTTTCACTTTTAGACCTGTGGTATCAAATGATACTGCCTCCCCATTTCGATTCATCAAAGAAGTACCCTCTGCTCCTTGATGTGTAAGTCTTCAAGTTACATGGCAATGTTGTGTTAATAATTACTTTCATCTACTTCAAATGCTCTTAATAAGATCAGGAAACACAAAATTGGCATGTTTTCTAATTACTTCTTGGAGTAGTTTTAATAAGCAATGAAAAAATGAGGTGTATCCCAATTTGTGATAGATTCCTGTACTCTAAGATGGTGTAATGCTTAATAAGCACATATTTTGCTGGTAGCAGTGGGGCAGATATGTTCTGTATCTCATTTAAAAGCCAGGATGTTCGCATTAGCTTACCTCATTCTCTGCTCTTAGAGTTCATTAGGAATAATATTCAATGAAATGACATTCCAGAATGAAACCTTGAATAAGCCTTGTATCCTAAAGCTGAAGTAGTGAGTGTGACGTTGCATTTTTCCCTGTGATATTTGACTGTCAGCTGGTGTTGGCAAACTGCATCCTGTGGTCAGGATGGCATTTGCTGGTTTTTCATAAATTCAAGACCATGGGCATGTGCTGTTTGGTCCGTTCTTCCTCAAGCACTTCTGTTTGTGCTGGTATGTTTTCTTCTGACTGGAAATTACTGAAGTTTAGCTATTCATTAAAATAGAAATGTTAACCTTTTCCTCTTTTTACAAAAAGCTGACTCCACAGGGAAACTAGCTGTTAATTGTTAGGTACATCTTTATATAATGTCATTTGGTAGCACTGTAATGCTTTTTGATATGCCTATTTAACATTTTAATGAGTAGTCAGTGCTCTTTGCTTGTTAAGAGTTATTTTGGTTTTGATTCTATTTATTGACTTACCTGGGCCTTTGTCAGGATCACCTCCGCTTCATGGTGATCTTGATATCAGAAATTCCTTCAGCAGTGTCAGGATCCATAGTGTATAGAAACAAAGCTCGATACAGAGAATTCCTCATAGGTTTTTCTTTGCTTTTAAAACTGGGAAAAATGGGTTATAGAGCCATAAGAGCCACTCTTCCATTTCTTACTCTGTTGAACAGTGGCTAGAGAAGTGCACTGCAAACAGAATTTTACCATCCAGGCACTTAGAGTGTGATTTCGTAGTGCTCAAGGGCTTCCAAGTATTTTAAAATAAAAAGTTATAATTACAGTTTTGCTTCCTTTTTCTCAGCCTGCATAAGAAATAGGTTAAACTGTAAGGAACACTGATGAGACACAAAAAAATGCAGAAAAAGATCTTTCTCATTTTCCCAAATGAAGGCTGTTTGTTGATTTCAGACTTTAACCAAGTACGTCATAGGTAAATGGAACAGAAATAGTTAAAGAGCATTGCTTTGAAACTTAGGTTCTAGATGACTAGATATACCAACACAAAAAAGAATTTGGGTTGGATTTCTGATAAGCCGCTTAAAGTCAAAATAATGAAAGTTTCTTATTAGAGCAGAAAGCAGTAAAACAAAATCCAGTCTGCTTTCTTGATTAACAGTTGAAGTTTTTAAAAAAGCATATTGCTTTGTCCAGGCAAAGCAGCAGTTTGGAGTCAGTCAAGGATGTTTTGCATGTTTGCTCAGTTTAATTTAAAATTTTACCCTTCTTTAGTGGCTGAAGAGTGTCAGCAATAATTGCATTTCAAATGCTTGATGTGAGAATACATGGAGAGTAAATGCCTCAATTCTGTGGCACTTTTCACCCAGGTATGCAGGACCCTGTAGTCAGAAAGTAGATTATGTCTTCCGGATCAGCTGGGCTACTTACCTTGCAAGCACCGAGCAGATCATTGTGGCCAGCTTTGATGGCAGAGGAAGTGGATACCAAGGGGATGAAATTATGCATGCGATAAACCGAAGGCTGGGAACATATGAAGTGGAAGATCAGATAGCAGCAGCCAGGTGAGCTACAATGAAATGGTCAACACTGCTCCTTCTTTTCTGTGCTTATTGTGTACGGGGAAAAAAAAGTAAAGATTTCGAATGGTCATCTTGAAATTACTGGCAAAAACATAACTAAATTCTACATTAATTTTGTATGCTGAAGTGTGTCATTTATGAGCCAACCATCAGTTTGTGTTTAAAAAGACAGAAGAGTTAATGCTGTAATAACAAATTTACCATATCCCTGCTTTTATAGGGATGATAGCTGTCGCATTAGTAGAAGAGCATGCTACCAAGGAACTTGGAGCTGCAAGTTTTACTCCAAGCTTTTTGCAAGTTTCTGTTGCGACAGAGTTATTTGTATGAACTACTCAGCCTTTACATCATAGTTCATCTTCGTCACTTGGTTCATGCTTGTAGAACCTCACTAAACCGAACGATGTCAGTATGAATCTGTCAGAATCACAAAGAAGTGATCTTACGGGGTTTGCTTTGGGGGATTTTAAAATGTTAAGGAGTTTAAACAAATAGCATTTCAGAATTTTTTTTTAAACCCTGATTGGATTTACAGGTGTCAGCCTGTCCCTTACTGCTGCAATTTGAGTGTTGCTCCTTTTTTTTTTTTTAAAAAAAAAAAAGACAAAAAATAAAAGGTGAGACACGTGGTGAAATCTAACCAAATGCAATACAAATTTCAGTGAGTGTGGTTTGAGGGCTTTTACAGACCGTCCAGGTTTTGGTTTCTCACATGCACAGATGTTTTTCTGACTTTCTTAAAAACACACGTACCTGAAGTATTGTATGTTTTCATATGCAGTCACTGTGATGAAGTGGGAAGTGCTTATTTGTACAATAGGAAGAGGCAGACATGATGGAAAACAGGCACGTCTGTATAATGGCAGATACTTGCAATCCATTAAGCATTTAATTGTTCTGTTTGCTTTTAGAAAATTTTCTGAAATGGGCTTTGTTGATAAGGACAGAATAGCTATTTGGGGTTGGGTAAGTACTCAAATAAGTTTGGCTGGCTTATTATTTAATTGTAACAACTATTTGTTGTGCGGCCGTGTGTGGGAGGTGCTGGAGTAGTGAGTGTGAGGCACCTCCGGGGTCACGGCACGCTCCAATAACTGAACTGATGAAGTACATCTTGCAAGTGCCTGTATACATTGTCCCTTTGCAAGCATTCAGGAGCCTTTGAAACAGAAATTAGGACTACTAGAGGGATTAAAAACAATTTAAAGGGATGCTGCCAAGTTCCTATGTACAAGATGAACTAATATTAAAAAGAAAAAAAATCCAAGTATATATTCACTGGTGTCTCTTTATATTAGTTGGATGACTAATTTTTAAAAAAAGATGTAAAACTACATGTGAACCAGCTGCATGGCATGGTTGTTGTGTTTTTACTAGCAGCCTGAAAATACCTGAATCTGCAGTATTGTTGTGCTTGGCTGTATTTTATTTCAGCAGTACTTCCAACCAGATTTCTCCAACTTTGATGTGTCTTTAAAACCTGTCACAGTAGAGGGGGGTGTTTAATAGCATATATATACCCCCTCAGCTGTAAGGCTAAGTGCGTAGGTAGTGTTAGTGATACCTATTTGATTCAAACTCGGAACATTTCTCTGTCCCAGGCTGCTGTTTAACTGTTTTCTGGTGTCACAGGGAGTGTTCTTGCATGCTCTGTTTAAGCATACTATTTTTAAGTATATGCAGGATTGCATGCAGGATCTGGAATTAAACTGCTAGCTGAAATTTGGTCACGGCTGGTGACAGGCACCAGTGAACAAATTGCTTGATGGCAAGTTGATGACGGTGCCTTTAGTAGCTTTTCTTGTGGGGATAAACATCTCCATGTTGTATGAAGTCAAGTGTAGTAGTATTAATTTTAGTGGGAGAGAAATTGTTTCTACAGAAATGGAGGACTTAATGCATTCCCATCTTACTTGTTATGAGCCACAGGATGAATAGTTGAAGAGCAGTCCTCTTCGGAGCTAGGTTGGGGTTATGCATCCTAGATACTGAACCTGTGGGCAGGTTTTCTCTCTATCGAGTTTTCAAGTTGTCAGTGTCTCATTGTCAGCCTGTCACTATGTACGTTAAT